GTAGGGAAAAAATATCTTTGTAAATATTTAGGTAGATTTATGTGTGATTACTTACGAATGTGCTCTACAGTAAAATTTAACACTTAGCTTGGAATTTCCTTTCCACTGCCAATAGAACACTTTATTTTGAGCTTTCATTTCTTGAAGGCATTAGTTAAAACATGACATAGTTTAGTTTTATGAAACACAATAGATGTTGGTCAAAACTGAGTCTAAACACTTGTTACTTCATTTGGCAAGCGCGGCGAGAGTGTTTGATGAAGTGGGATGGTGGATCGAATTTGTTTCATCCCAGCCATTAGTTTTAACCTGGTAAATAAGAACCTTGAGGTTTTTATATCTCATAATGACATGGTGGGCTTACTAATATTCTTTAAAGAGTGGGGAAAAAATAAGCAGTTGTTAGAGATTCATGAGAGGTGCCCCTCCTATGATTTTACTTTCATAAAAGCAATAGCAGAATATAAGTGGCTGGTTTCTTTTCTTTATGCATCTCCGTGGGAGGTGGACTGGAATAATGTCAGTTATATAGATTAGGTTCCATATGATCATTATTATATCAAATCCATGTTTTGGTGGGGTAGATATAACTGAATGATAACATTCAACAACATTATCTTGAAGTTAAAACTCAGAACTTACACCTGAGCAACATCTTTTGGCTCTTAATTGTATGTTGGGAACATTTATAATCATACCTTCAATAATTGCAAGAAAGGAAGTTCCCAAAGCCATTCAGAGTTCAATCATAGTCATTTCAGAGTCTCCTTGAGACTTTGCTTTTCTTTGGTCCTTCCTCAAGTATACACAAGGCATTTGGGGGAGAGTAGAGGAATGCTGCCATGGTAAAAGGTAAGTTAAATAAAGCACATCTTATATCTTGGTAATTGTACAAGTAATAGCGTATAATTCAAGAGTTAATATTCAATTTAATAACTATAAAACAAGTATTTTTTAAACATAATTTTATAGATAAACTTGATTTCAGTAATAATCCTTAAAAAAATCTGGCTTTGTTACATACTGATGTCCTAAGTTTTATAATTTTTTTCATCCTCTCTTTTTGATGATTGTGTCATTTCTACTGCTCATGGGAACTTTTGCATCCAATTTTTTCTTTTCCTACCCCATTTTTTTTTTTCCCCCACTACAGGCAGTTTTTCAGGAACGCCAGGCAGTGTAAAATCATCTTCGGGAAGTTCAGTACAGTCTCCCCAGGATTTCTTGAGCTTTACAGACTCAGATCTGCGTAATGACAGTTACACTCACTCCCAACAGTCATCATCAACCAAAGATGTACATAAAGGAGAGTCTGGAAGCCAGGAAGGGGGGGTAAATAGTTTTAGTTCCATAATTGGTCTCCCTTCAACCTCAGCTGTTATTCCGCAGCCTAAAAGCTTTGAAAATTCACCTGGAGATTTGGGTAATTCCAGCCTTCCTACAGCAGGATATAAGCGGGCTCAAACTTCTGGCATAGAAGAAGAAACTGTAAAGGAAAAGAAAAGAAAAGGAAATAAGCAAAGTAAGCATGGGCCTGGTAGACCCAAAGGAAACAAAAGTCAAGAGAATGTTTCTCATCTCTCAGTTTCTTCTGCTTCACCAACGTCATCTGTAGCGTCAGCTGCAGGAAGTGTAACCAGCTCTAGTCTCCAGAAATCCCCCACGCCGCTCAGGAATGGGAGTGTGCAGAGTCTTAGTGTGGGCTCCTCTCCACTTGGTTCAGGTAGGCTTGGCCCCTTGTTTTCTCCCTCCCTCCTCCCTCTCTCCCTCCCTCCCTCTCCCCCACCCACCCACCGCCACTGCCACTGCCACTGCCACCACCACCAAGCAAATTTATTTTATTTTTTAAAAAAATTATTTATTTATTTATTTTTGGCTGCATTGAGTCTTTGTTGCCGTGCACGGGCTTTCTCTAGTTGTGGCGAGCTGGGGCTACTCTTTGTTGCAGCGTGCAGGCTTCTCGTTGCGGTGGCTTCTCTTGTTGCGGAGCACGGGCTCTAGGCACGTGGGCTTCAGCGGGCTTAGTTGCTCCACGGCGTGTGGGGTCTTCCTGGACCAGGGCTCAAGCCTGTGTCCCCTGCATTGGCAGGTGGATTCCTAACCACTGTGCCACCAGGGAGGTCCCCGCAAATTCATTTTAAACTATCATTATGATAATACTGTGAGTTGCTAAGTGACATTTAATTATCTTAATGAAAAGTGTTACGATCTTAGGAGGACAGTTTGGTCTTTGGAAAAGACATTTGGCACTAATCCAGTTTTACTTAATATAGGCTAAATAGTTAAAAGATAAATTCTTAAAAGATTTTCCTAGCTGTTATTGATTTAGGGAAATTTTATGTGTGGGAAATCATGTTTTTTACTGATTACTGATTACTTTGTGAGGGCAGTGTCTGTGGTACATCTGTGGCAGAAAAATATGAATTTGTATCCCTTTTACCTCACCAGTAGGTAGACAGAAATTTAGGGAGAAATTCCCATAAATATTATTTCACCAAAATAAATGACTTAAATTTAGACTTGTCAGGATTTTTTTTCTTTTTTTCTTTTCTTTTTTTTGCGGTACGTGGGCCTCTCACTGTTGTGGCCTCTCCCGTTGCGGAGCACAGGCTCCGGACGCGCAGGCTCAGCGGCCATGGCTCACGGGCCCAGCCGCTCCGCAGCACGTGGGATCTTCCCGGACCGGGGCACGAACCAGTGTCCCCTGCATCGGCGGGCGGACTCTCAACCACTGTGCCACCAGGGAAGCCCTAGGATTTTTTTTTTTCTTAAACTTGAGTTTTAAAATCACTCTGAAGAGTGTATGTATCTTGTTAAAGCCATAATTAGGGAATAAGATTAGTTGTTGAAAACTATTAATATATTATTTAATCTTACACATTTTAATAAAAGTTTTATGACTAGATCAGAGCACTCTCTCACTGATAAGCTTAGTACTAAAAAGTCTATGCTTATCTAGAAGAAGCTGGCTAAATGCCATGAGTATTTAGGAATTACGCCTTCTTACCATAAGTTAAGAATTGCTAACTGCTGTTGAAACTTAGCATGTGCTGCACACTGTCTTAAGCACTTGACAAGCATCAAGTATTATCGCTCATTATATAGAAGAGGAAACAGAGACAGAATTCTCACAGCTCTAAGTGGTGGAGCTATGCATTTTCCTTGATTCCAGAGACACTTAATTATAAAATTCAAGGGATGTTTGCTGATGAGGGTGTAAAACCTTGCTAGTATACTGTCAGTCATGCTTTAAGCAATGGGATCAACAAGAGAGTTTGAGCCAATAATTTAACTTGCAACAGTAGTACCTCCTACTAGTATCAAAATGTTAATTTTTCCTTTGGACTAATTTTAGATTGAGAAAGCACTTAGTAATTGTAAAAGCAGAAAACTCACTCCTGTATAAATAAGTCAGAAGGAGAAAATGTGTACCGTGTTATCAAGAATTGTTTTCCATGATGCCCTTTTAAAGATTCATGTGCGAGTAACAATGCAGGTGACCTTGTAAACACCTGTTAATTATAACGTTAGACTGTAACAAGCACTATAATCCTAGCTCCAGGAGGTTAGGGGCTGTGTTTGTCATGTTCATTACTGTCTCCCCACTGCCAGCACAGTGCTTTGACCATAATAAATGCTAAACATTAAAAAAACAAAAAAAAAGAATGAATACTATTAGTAATCACTGAGAACGTTATCATGTGTTTAGTAGTATCCTGTGTGATTTTGTACTTGTCTTTCAAATGTTTTTGCTAGATTGCAAGTGAAATTATTTACTGTAAAGCTTTTCACGTATCAGTAGTATTACAGACTAGTTTTAGGATATATAATTAGTTGGAAAAGACCATGGACAAGATGAAATTTGAATTGTACTTTGGAGTAGGCAGAAAAAGAAGACCAACATTATTATCAGAAAAGATAGTAAAGGTATATTTGAAGGGTGAACTTCATAGAAACAAGAAGCTTGTGTTTGTGAGATAGTTAGAAGTAATGTTGATTAAATAGAGCGGGATGAGTTTATGGAGAGTTGAATGCCAGGCTGAAGAAATCAGACTTTGAGGCTAATGGTCTTTCTCCTAGAATTAGCATTCTGGACTTAATTCTGGCAACTTATTATTAAAAGAATTTTAGAGTAATCAAAATTATCTCATGACATGTTCACATTATAGTAGAGCATATGTAGCAAGATATTTATTCTAGGAGGCCTAGATCCAGTCAGAATAGAAACCCAGAAAACACCTCTAAATTTGTCTAATCAAGGGTTTGTATTGTAAGATTTTTATTAAATCACAGTACATCCTGATAAATGACCTACTGTTTTATACTGACTTGTACAAAATGTTTTAAATGGCTACTAAAGGTTGTAAGTTTTGGCTTACAGATTATATTAAACTTTTGATTTAATTCTTTCCTATGTATGTCCTTTTGAGCTCTTAATAGGCACCTGGTCTTTTGAAACATTGAAAATTAAGGTGTTGAAAACATTGAATATTTTGGAAGAGTTGACATGCTGTATTTGTCCTTTTCTGTTTTCCTTTTATTTATTTATTTGTTTGTTTTTGGCTGTGTTGGGTCTTCGTTGCTATGCGCGGGCTTTCTCTAGTTGCTGCAAGCGGGGGCTACTCTTCGTTATGGTGTGCGGGCTCTAGGTGCACGGGCTTCTGTAGTTGTGGCTCTCTGTCTCTAGAGTGTAGGCTCAGTAGTCATGGCACATGGGCTTAGTTGCTCCGGGGCATGTGGGATCTTCCCGTACCAGGGCTCAAACCCGTGTCCCCTGCATTGGCAGGCGGATTCTTAACCACTGCACCGTGAGGGAAGTCCCTGTTTTCCTTTTTATCTCAACCACATTAGGAGGGTTTATGATTTAGTAAAGTGAAAGTTAGCATTTTTTCTTCACAAAAATCAACATCTTATTTTCTCTGAGAAAAGTTTGGTATTCGTTAAATAATGGTGGTTTAACGTTAATTTCTTTTCTTTGGGCACACTTTGTCCTTCCAAAGTATAGGGTTCCCTGTTTTTTGTTTTTGTTTTTTAAACTCAGTCTCTAATTCTTTAATAGAATGCCTCTATACCTTTCTCAGTTAAGATACCTGAAATCTATTTCAGTGATGGAATTCTTTAGTGGTGATAACATGCTATAAAAGGAGATTCTGGAAAGGCAGTCCTTTGGTTGTGAGACTATGTACTTAATCTTAAATTGTTACTGATTTCACAAAGACAAGTTATTACTATGAGTAGGTCGCCTCAATAGAAGTTTCTTCTGGCTTCTCCTGAAATATGAAGGTTATGAAAGTTTAACTTGAACCTGTGTAACTATGAAAGGGAACTTGTTAAATGTATCCCTGTTTATGTCATATCTACTTATGTTGGTAAAGTGAACTGAGAAGTCTTTTTTTGATAAAATATTTTAATTAGAAATAGACTGATTCTGTAAACAGGTAAGGGAATCATAGATAAAATATTAATCTAATAAACTCATGAGAGTAGAGTTACTAACACAGTACTGTAGATGAAGGAGTAGTTACAGTCAGTGAACATAATTCACATCTAAATGACTCAGGTTCATGATTTTATATACATTGATTATATTGGGTTATAAATGAAAATCATAAAGGATATTGGATGCTGCTAAGACCAGGATATACCTTGGAATTTGCTTTCTTAGAAAATCCCCTGATTTTGTTTTGGCTTTTGATGATCTGAAAATTTGCTGGCCCTATGTCATGGCTGTCTTTCTATAAAAGTACTAGATCAAAGGCCAGAATAGCTATATTCCAGTTTTTTGTCCCCACTGAGAAAATCCTTCTGCATGAGTGTCCTTTGATTATTTTTTAGGACCATTGCAAACAACTACCATTTCTCTATAATGTAACATGTCTATCTCTTTAATAGCCTTTTAAAATCTCACTTGTATTGCATTTGTTAATGAAGCATTAAGGTGGCAAATTTTCCCACCATGACTCATTTTCGAGGGTCATCTGGAAAGGACTTACACTAAACTGGCCTAAGTGTGTGATTTTTTAACAGTATCTAATGTCAAGTTCTTTTAACATTACAGTGATTGCAAGTGAGTGCTGGCTTCCTCTACCTTGCTTTGTCTTTCTTCTTAATTTCAAGTTATTCAGAGTGGGCCAATGATTAGATTTGAGTTCTGAGGTAGATGTGTGAGTGATGGTTGCCTGGAAGGCTCTGCTGTGCACATGGTTCCTAGAAGTCATGTTTTTGGTTAAGTAATAGCCAGAGACTTCCTGCGGCTTCCTGCGGCAGCTTGCGGGATCTTAGTTCCCCAGCCAGGGATCGAACCCTTGCCTCCTGCAGTGGAAGTGCAGAGTCTTAACCACTGGGCTGCCAGGGAGTTCCCAGGCCAGGACTTTTGAGTCACAGCCTTAGCACTGGTTTTATCGATTACTTTTCCTTTGGAGTGTCATATGGAAATTTATTTCCCATTTCTGAGCAGATTTTGCTTTTAGCAGTGTTGTATTGCTTCTTGTCACCCTCTGCTCATTCTCCTCATTTGGGTGGAGTAAAAGAATAAGAGTAATGGCTTTTCATTCATTATCATCATCAAAAATGAAAGGTAGAAGAAAGTAAGCAGAGTGTAGTTTAATGAGTTTTATATTGTTATGTAAGTCATAATGGATTTCTGCTCAGATATAAACTAAATAATTTTCATACTTAAATTGTAATTTCTAATTGAACATAGCATTCAAATGTGTTTGATACATTCTTCTCATCTAATGAATTATATAAAGCACATTAGTTTATCTCATTGCCTAACTGTACTTCCTCATAGAAGTGAATCCATTTATTCTTAAATGCTTGTTATACAGATTCATTTGTAAGCCCTTCTGTCTTTTCCTCATTCGTTGCACACATATACATGCACACACATTTCTACACTGTCCTGTTAAGATTTGTGAGAATGCCATCATGTTTGGTCCTCCTACGCATTATGTCCCAATTACTGGCTCATAATTTCTGTTGTTGCATTTCTGTTTGCCCTGCTCAGCTAGACTTTTAGGTGAATGTTTTCCTGTTTTTCTGGCCTGTTTCTTTTCTGCCCTTAACTCACTGGCAACTTCTTTGCTGATTTCCTTTCTCCTCCCTCCCAACAGAAATTTCCATGCAGTATCGGCATGATGGAGCTTGTCCAACAACTAGTAAGTTGTCTAACTGGGTTGGTAACCCAGACTTTTTGACTCCTACTCTAGTGCTTTTTCTAGTATATTATGCCACTTCTGAACCTTTAAATTTTAATTTTCTAAAATGCGGTTGGTTCTTAATTGAATAGATTTCTTTCTCCTACAAAGGTAGCTTTACTTGCTGCTTTGTCCTGTGTTCAGGATCCATATTAGAGTCAAATTGTGACCAAATTTTGTTGATTGCTGGCCTTTTAATATGGTGCTTCCATTGTAGAATTGTGACTTCTGTTCCCCAAGGAAGTAATATTTCCAATTTTTTGGTTTTCACTAATCTTAATGTTAATATTTGTATATTGGCATTAGATATCTTTTTTGCTTAGGCCTCTGCATATCTTGAGCCTGTTACACTAAAGTCTAGGAATTGAGAATGTTTGATCAGGTTAGATGATAAAATGAGGTTTTTCGTTATAATAAATACTATTAAGTGTGACCAGAGGTGGATTTACCTATATAGAATGGCATCTTATAGATACTGAGTTTTAGCCAGAAAGACATTACATAGTTAGACTACTAAATGTCTTTTTAAAAGTAGCTTTATTTATTACTAAGGAGATTTGTCATCATTATGACAGTATATCTGACATATTATTTAAATTTAGTAGGTAATATATTGGCAAGTGAAATGCGATATCTAGAAATTTATACCATGTGAAGACTGAGCCAGGCTTGTAGTTTTAATGATTAAAGTAATGATCCAAGGTAGATTTACTGAGATTTTATTATACTGATGCAGCCTATGCCTATGTATTTCTTTTGTGTGTTTGAGAATGATCTTAACCTGAAGTCCTTTTTTCCTTACTTAAAAGCTTTCTCAGAGTTGCTGAATGCAATACACAATGGTAAGTTTTATTAGAATCTTCTCTGGTGGTTCATTTATTACAAAGGTTGCCTTTTGTAGAGAATCCCAATTGAAAGCTTGCATGTTCCATTGATGAAGTGAAACCTAGCTCTGAATCAGTTGTTCAGCATCTTAGTGAAAACTTTTTGTGGATTGCCTACAGGAGGATAATAGGTCAACTTAGTTCATCAGTTTGGCTTTTATTGTCTCTTTGTAAGGCAAAATGGTGATAGTGTTGTTCTACCTTTATGAAAGTCATTTTTCTATTTTTGCAGATAGTTTTTTCTAGTTCTTATGAGCTCTGGCTTTCCAGTGCAGTTGGTGATTGGTACCTACATCAGGAATTTGCTGCTTCTTCCACAACTGGGAATGTGAATTTTATTTTTAGGATTAAAATAATAATAATAGTTTTATTATTCTATCTCTCTATTCCATTTAGTGAATAAACATAAGATAGCCTTTTACATTATGTCTAATTTGAGGCCAGGTTTTTACAGGGAGTTGCATCTTTTGCAGGATTGGGTTCTGAAATCAGAATATAAGGCAAATGCTACCATTTTTTTTTTAACTTTTAAGATATAATTATAATGGAGTTTATTTTTGCAAAAGTGGTAGAGAGTTTCTTCAGTTCCAAGAACCTTCCTTAACTATTTGCTGTTTAAAGAAAATTCTTGAATCTAGTATTATCTTTGTTGATTATCGTTTTTAGTCATTAGCTGACATACCTCTTATTTGTTCAAGACTGTTTAAATGATTCCAAGCAGTTTTCCCAACACATTTTCATTAACTTTCTGAAATCTTGCATATTTTGCTAATGTAGTTTAATTTGCAGTCGTTTTGCATTGCATTTGGATTAAATTGTCAGGTGTTTACAAATCTATAGCCAGCAAGAGACAAATGGCACGATGAACAGGCATAGACACTGTGTTGATTTGAGGGCTAGTATGGTTGGGATGGGAAACCCATAATGAGCATTTTATTAATGGGTACATTTTTAAAATAACTCTTGCTTCCCAGTGTAACCTGGAACTGCAGACTCTTAGAATAAACATTCCAGATAAAAAGGAACTCTTGAATATTGGGTATGTAGAGGAAAAGGGATTAGAAGCATTCTTAAAAATAAACCAAATATGTTACCATTCTTTGATAGGAAAGTATAAAACATCATTTTCAGTTTGCATAGGTAAATTTAGACTTGCTCTTTAATTTTGGAATATTAGAATTTGGAGGCATGCTGAAAGTTTGAAAAGAGTATATTTGGGGTAAAAAAGGAAGTAGATACTGTTGAGAGCCACCTAAATCCTTTGTCATTATTAACTGACATAGTACTGGGTTGTATTAATTTAACAGGCAAATTGTCATGTTTCTTTGCATGGGTGAATGAAGTTAATATAATGGGATTAATATAATGAACACAGGTTTTCTTTAAAATCTTGGGTTATTTTGTAACTGGAAATTTGACCCCCATCACCCATTGCATCCCATCCATTGATGGACATTTAGGTTGTTTCCCTGTCTTGGCTATTGTAAATAGTGCTGTAGCGAACATGGGGGTACATATATCTTTTTGAATTAGTGCTTTTGTCTTCTTCAAATAAATACCCAGAAGTGGATCCATGTGGTAGGACATTTTTGTTTTTTAAAGGAACCTCCAAACAGTTTCCCAATAGTGGCTGCACCAATTTACATTCTCACCAACAAGGGTTCCCTTTTCTCCACATTCTCACCGATACTTATTTCTTGTATTTTTGATAATAGCCATTCTAACAGATGTGAGGCGATATCTCGTGACTCTGATTTGCATTTCCCTGATGATTAGCGATGTTAAGCATCTTTTCATGTGTCTGTTGGCCATCTGTGTGTCTTCTTTGAAAAAATGTCTCTTCAGATCCTCTGCTCAGTTTTTAATCGGATTTTTTTTCCCTCTTGAATTATAGGAGTTCTTTATATATTTTGGATATCAACCCCTTATCAGATACAATTGACCCTTCAACAGTTGAAACAACTAGGGGTTGGGGTGCTGACCCCTGAGCAGTTGAAAATCAAGTACTGCTATCTCTGCCTCAGAAACAAAGGAAATGACAAATGACTCACCCAAAGCAGGAAGCAGAAACAGTTTAGATAGAATCAAAACTTAAACCCAGGTTCATTTGATTCCACGTTTTATGATTGAGAAGCGAACACAAACTTTCCCCCACACTTAAAGATTTGTAAAATGAAACTACAGGTACTATGGTTTTTTTTTTTTTTTTTTTTTCGGTACGCGGGCCTCTCACTGTTGTGGCCTCTCCCGTTGCGGAGCACAGGCTCTGGACACGCAGGCTCAGCGGCCATGGCTCACGGGCCCAGCCGCTCCGCGGCATGTGGGATCCTCCTGGACTGGGGGGCGAACCCGTGTCCCCTGCATCGGCAGGCAGACTCTCAACCACTGTGCCACCAGGGAAGCCCCAGGTACTATGTTTATTGAAAAAAAAAAAACATTAAGTGTACTTGCGCAGTTCAAACCCATATTCAGGGGTCAGCTGTGTATGATTTGCAGATATTTTCTCCCTTTTGGTAGGTTGCCTTTTCATTTTGTTGATGGTTTCCTTGGTTTTGTGGTAGCTTTTTACCACTTGTTTATTTTTGATGTATTACCACTTGTTTATTTTTGTTTTTGGTATCAAGTCCAAAAAATCATCACCAAGAGCAATGTCAAGGAGCTGACTGCCTATGTTTTCTTATAGGAGTTTTATGGTTTCAGGTCTTACATTCAAGTCTTTAATTCATTTTGTCTCTTTTGCCACAAATTGACCGAATATGCTTGGGTGTATTTCTGGGCTCCCCATTCTGTTCTGTTGATCTATGTGTCTGCTTTTATGCCAGTACCATACTGTTTTGACTACTGTAGCTTTGTAATATAGTTGAAATCAGGGAGCATGATGCCTCCAGGTTTGTTGTTCTTTCTCACAATTGCTTTGTCTATTTGGGGCCTTTTGTGGTTCCATACAAATTTTGGGATTTTTTTTCTATTTCTCAGAAAAGTGCCGTTGGAATCTTCACATGGATTACACTGAATCTGTGGCTTCCTTTGGGTAGTGTGGACATTTTAACAATATTAATTCTTCCACCCCATGACTACGGAATATCTTTCCATTGTTTGTGCCTTCAACTTCTTTCATTAATGTCATTTAGTTTTCAGTGTAGAGATCTTTCACCTCCTTGGTTAAATTAATTCCTATGTATTATTCTTTATGATGCAGTTGTTAGTGGGATTGTTTTATTAATTTCTTTCTGATAGTTTGTTATTAGTGTATAGAAATGCAACTGATGTTGTATATTGATTTTATATTCTGAAACTTTACTGAGTTTATTTGTTTAACATTTTCTTTTGTGGAGTCTGTAGGGTTTTCTATATATAGTATCATGTCATCTACAAATAGTGACGGTTTTACGTCTTCGCTTCCAATTCGATGGCTTTTATTTTGTTTTCTTGCCTAATTGCTCTGGACTTATATTTTCAATTACAAAGACAAGTGTAGAATTGGCACCTAGTGAAGTAATATTTAGCCTGTGGAGGATTGAAGGAGAGTTGCTTGGACTTAGTTGGAAAAATCCATATGTTTGTGTTTTCTCTTTTTTCAAATGTCTTCCATTTTTTTGGTTTTAATTGTGGTAAAATACACATAATATAAAATTTGCCATTTTAACCATTTTTAAGTGTACAGTTAAGTAGTGTTAAATATATTCACATTGTTGTACACCCAATCTCCAGAATTTTTTAATTTTACAAAAACTGAAACTATAGTCATTAAACAACAGCTCCCCATTCCCCCTCCCCCCAGCCCCTGACACCCAGCATTTTACTTTGTATGAATTCAACTACTCTAGATACCTCATGTGAGTTAGAATCATGTAGTATTTGTCTTTTTGTGACTGACTTACTTCACTTAGTCCTCAAGGTGCATCCACGTTATAGCATGTGTCAGAATTTCCTTCCTTTTTAAGGCTGAATAATATTAATACTGCATTGTATTATATACCACATCTTACCATTTATCTGTGAAGGGACACTTGGGTTGCATTCACCTTTTGGCTGTTGTAAATAAGCTGCTTTGAACATGGATGTTCAGGTATCTTTTCGAATCTCCATTTTATCCAGAAGTGCAATTGCTGGATCCTATGGTAGTTATATTTAAAAATTTTTTTAATTGAGGTATAGTTGATTTACAATATTATATTAGCTTCAGGTGTACAACATAGTGATTCAAAATGTTTAGATTATACTCCATTTAAAGTTATTATACATCATTGGCTATTATACATCCCTGTGCTGTACAGTAGATCTTTGTAGCTTATTTATTTTATACAGTTTTATATATATATACATATATATATATATTTTTTTTTTGCGGTACGCGGGCCTCTCACTTTTGTGGCCTCTCCCGTTGCGGAGCACAGGCTCTGGACGTGCAGGCTCAGCGGCTGTGGCTCACAGGCCCAGCCGCTCTGCGGCATGTGGGATCTTCCCGGACCGGGGCACAAACCTGTGTCCCCTGCATTGGCAGGCGGACTCTCAACCACTGCATCACCAGAGAAGCCCAGTATACAGTTATATTTTTAATTTTCAAAATCTGTTTCCATGGTGACTGCACCATTTTATATTCCCACCAACAGTGTACAAGGATTCCAGTTTTTCAATATCCTTGCCAGCACTTAATTTTTTTTGCTTTTTTTTTTTTGATAGTAACCATCCTAATGGGTGTGAGGTGTCAAATGTTAGCTTAAAATTTTTTTTCTTCTTCATTATATTGAGCATCAAGCAATAAAAACCTTGAGACTTGTCTCTGGGGGGAGGAAAGAAGAAGAAGAATTTACATTCCATTTTATTCTTCTGTATTTGTTTTTTATGGTTGCTCTAACAACTTATCACAAACTTAAAGCAATACAAATTTATTACAGTTCTGTAGAAGTCTGACATGGACCTCACTGGGTTAAAATTAAGGTGTTGGCAGGCTTTGA